TTGGGGTAAATTACGCTTAGGTCACCACACTTCACCCGTGTTTTTACATTTCAATCACTGCTACCTAATTTTTTTTAAATTTGAATATAGTGCATTGATTTTATTATTTTCTATTTTGGTCACTGATGCATTGATTTTCATTTATTTCAAATTTGCTCTGAAGCTTCATATTTGTTTTAATTTAGTTACTATTATTAATTCTTTTTAGAATTGACCTCTATAATTTAATTTTATTACATTTTAGTCCCTAATTTAATAATATTACTAAAAATTTTGATACGACGTTACGGTTAGCTATTATGGGCTATGACTCGCATTATTGTGGTACTTATAAAATTTATTATTAGTTTTTAATTTACTAACAACTAATCCTTTAAAAATATTCAATTAATTTACAATTTTACGAGGATCATTCCTGGGGTACGATTCACATTATTATGGTTCGGGTAATTTGAATTTTTAATTTCTAATTTCTAAAATATTCAAATTAATTTACGACATCACGATGACCCATCCTAAGGTACGATTCGCGTTATTTATGGTCTAGGTAAAAAATTAAAGAAATCAATGTTAACCTATATTCTTATTTGATCCTTAATTTTGGTATTTATTTTTTTAGTCCTCCAATTCTTGAAGTTTTAAATTTATGCTCTTTAATTTCCTACATTTATATTTAAGTCCTTTAAATTCCTATATTTATTTTTCTATAACTATTTCAATTTGTGCTTCATATTTTGTATGTTTTCAATTTAGTCCCTAATTAAAATACTTAGATTTTAGGTTTAGTCCCTGAATTTAGGTTTTTTAGACTTAGTCTTTAAACTTCTTTAACTTAGACGAATATTCGATTTGGGCCTCAGTTTGCCCGAGGTTTCATTTTGGTTATTCAAAATAATAAATCGCTAAAATTGGTTAGGATTAATATTAGAGCCTTCATTTTAGGCTTAATTTCACTTTAGCCCCATAATTTAGGCAAATTTCTAATTTTGTTCTTACTTTTGCCTAAGGCTCCATTTTATAATTCGATTAAAATTGGTTAGGATAAATATTAGAGCCTCCATTTTAGGCTTAATTTAGGTTAATTTTTTATTTGGTCCTCGCATTTATGTCCGAGGTTCCATTTCAATTATTTGATCCATAATTGATTAAAATTGGTTAGGATTAATAATATAGCCTCTATTTTAGGTTTAATTTCACTTTAATCCTTAAAATTGGGAGACTTTTTTTTGGTCCTTGTATTTATGCCCAAGGTTCCATCTCAATTATTCAACCAATAATTGGTTAAAATTGGTTAGGATTAATATTAGAGCCTCCATTTTAGGCTTAGTTTCAGTTTAGTCCTTAAAATTATGAGAATTTTTTATTTGGTCCTCGCATTTATGCTCGATGTTCCATTTCAATTATTCGATCCATAATTAGTTAAAAGTGGTTAAGATTAATATTAGAGCCTCTATTTTAGGTTTTATTTCACTTTAATCTTTAATTTAGGTGATTTTTTTATTTAGTCCTCATTTTTATGCCTAAAGTTTCATTTCAATTATTCGATTCAAAATTTGTTAAAATTGGTTAGGATTAATAATTAGAGTCTATATTCAGGTTTAACTTCTAGGTCCTTTAAAGTTCATAATTTGACATTTTACTTAGAGAGAAGCCATAATTAACCTCTTAGTATAATTAGACTTAATAATTGATAGTTTGATTGCATGACTCGATTTCAAAATAAGACAATGTTCATTTATTAGGGGAGTGATAGTGTATCTTTTGTTTTTGCCATGGGGTAACACTATTAGTCCACGTAGTAAATCGACATCCTTTTTAAAATCCTATATCATATTTTTTTTAAATTATTAAGGTGATTTTCATTTATTGGGATCGATAACGAAACTTCCACTTGTGCCTGGGGTAGTCGTTATTGGTCTTGGTATATCAACATCATTTTCAAAATCTACATACATGGTGATTTTTAAATTAAATAAAACTTCAAACTCAAAATTTCCAATTTTAAAATATAAGGTAATCGACTAGGTACTAATTATTGGGCACTGTGGGGGTGTTAATCATTCCTCAATGTTAGCAGTATACTTAGAAGCTTCCTGAAGATGAAGTTGTTATAACAGCTAAGGTTGTTAGCAAGTTAGTTTTGTTAGTTTTGGTTAGTTGCTCAGTTAAGGTGGTTGTATTAGCAGCTGATACAGCTAAGAGTAGTAGTATATAAGGAGCATCAATCTTGTACTCAAACACACGTTTTACATAATAGCAATATCCAGATTATATTCCTCTGTTATTCACATTTCCAATATGGTATCATTCGCCAAATGATCCTGACTTTATTTTGTTTTCTACCGCTGCATGGAAGAGGAGGAGAAAATGTCATCGGCAGCGGTAACGGCTGCTAAACCGGTGTCGTTCACATCCAAGCCGATCCAGCAAATGGTGAGCTTCATCCGCCAAGAAGCGGAGGAGAGAGCTAACGAGATCTCTGTTTCAGTTGATGTAACAGCAGTTCCATTTTGTTTCTTTGCTGTGAGAAAGAAGAGGGGTTTGGCAAAAAGAATCAAGAGTGCAATTCCTAGAGTTCAAACGAACAATATACCAATAACATGGTCACTTGCAGAGATAAAAATCAGCTATAATGGGGTTTTATAAGAGTCGAATCATCGATAAAGGTGGTTCAACAGTTGTTTATAAAGGTTATGTTCCGTCGGCTGAAACTGTCGTGGTGAAGCGATTCGATCAGTTCAACGGAAAAGCATTCACTCGTAATCTTTTCAACACAGAGTTTGCCATTATGGCCGGTTGGCTAAACCATTGTAACTTGATTCAACTTCAAAGATGGTGTTGTGAGGAATCTGAGTTGGTCTTGGTCTATGAGTACTTGTCCAATGGAAGCCTCTACCAACATATTCACAAAACCTCAGTTTCATCAACAACTACCCTTTCATAGAGCTTGAGATTAAAGGTAGTTCTCAGGGTTGCTTCTGCTCTTTCATTTTTACATGAAGAATGTGAAAGACAGATAATACACAGAGATGTGAAAACTTACAACATCATGCTTGATGACGAGTTTAATGCCAAGCTCGGAGATTTCGGTTTAGTCGAAGTGTACGAACATTGTTGCGCTTCAAGAGATGCAACGATACCAGCCTGGACGATAGGATATCTGGCACCCGAGTACGTTTATACCGGTGTTCCGACTGTGAAAACCGATGTTTATAGCTTCGGAGTGGTTGTCCTGGAGGTGGCTACGGGAAAGAGGCCCGTGGATGAGAATAAAACCGTGTTGGTTGATTGGATTTGGGACCTGTGGGTGAAAAAGAAACTAATTGAGGGCGCTGATTCAGGAATGTTGTGCAGGTGTAATGTTTTAGAGATGGAAAGATTGTTTGTGAGAACACCTTGGATGCACGGTTGGATGTTGCATTCAATAAAAAGCTTCCAGAGATACGCAAGTGGCTCTTTGGTCAGGTTGGTGCATGAAGGGTAGATGTTGAACAGAATCCAGTTTCTATACTGGTGCCAATGGCAAGGCTATCACCGTTATTTCTGCATAGTAGTATAATTCTTTTGTGTGTGTAAACAGAAGTTTAATTTTGTATTCATTTTTTTACTTTTGTTGCTTCTATCTCAAAGTGTCATGGGACTTGAAAGCTTCACAACTAAGAGTCCATAAAAAAAATTCAAGGAACCTTGTAAAAGAGGGTGAAGAAGAAAGAAATGAAGGTGAATAAGAAGTACGAAAGGAAGCATCAGCACTTTCGATTCAAAGTGAACGGAAGGAAGCATCGGTACTTTCGATTCAAGAAGAACGAAAGGAAGCATCGACACTTTCGATTCAAAGTGAACGGAAGGAAGCATCAGCACTTTCGACTCAATTGTTCATCTTTTCAATTGTTCAGCTTTTGAAATGTTTCGTGACAAGATTGGAGTGCAAGTCTGTTCACGATCAGGAGAAGAGCAGAAGAAGAAGAAGAAGTAGAGAGAATGTTAGCAGTATACTTAGAAGCTTCCTGAAGATGAAGCTGTTATAACAGCTAAGGTTGATAGCAAGTTAGTTTTGTTAGTTTTGGTTAGTTGCTCAGTTAAGGTGGTTGTATTAGCAGTTGATACAGCTAAGAGTAGTAGTATATAAGGAGCATCAATCTTGTACTCAAACACACGTTTTACATAATAGCAATATCCTGATTATATTCCTCTGTTATTCACATTTCCAATACTCAAGCATGACTGACTCTCGAACACAATTTCTAATTTCACAGACCAAAACATTGATATTTTGGATAAAATAAAAATGTTTTATTAAAATTACTCGATTTTAGGTGTTCAAATCTCACCTTAAAAATGATTGGTGGCGACTCTAATCTTTCATAAAAACATTATTTTCAAAAATCTCATCATCGTAACTAGTCAGCTTTTCCCCGAATGGTCGATTGCGATAATAATGATTTGTAAATTTGAATGCTTGACTTTATGTTTTATGTTTCAATATGGCATATATGGTTAATGACATAAAATTTAAGAATAATGAAAATATTTTTTTGGAAAAGTTATTGTGAGATTTTTTTTCATTATTAATTTCAGTAAATTGCGTATTTAGTACTTAGACTATTAATTTTAGTCTGTTTTAGTACTTAATTTTTTAATTTTTTTTAAAATTATACTTAAAATTTAGTTTCTGTTTCATTTTGGTACCCATGTTCAAAATCTAACATTAATTTTTGAAAATGTTTGGAAGTTTAGGTATTAAAACATACCAAAACTGACAGTTAGGTATTAAATTCGTTAAATTTTTAATGATGAGACTAAAATGAAACAAAATTAAAAATTAGATATAATTTTTAAAAAATAAAAATTTAAATATTAAAACGCATCAAAACTGTTAATTTAATTACTATGTCCGTAATTTATCCTGTCAATTATTGCGATGAGATAAACAAAGTAACACTTCAATAGTCGGGACCATTCGTATACTAAAGAAGTAAAGATTGTCCCTTTCTTAAGACTCGAATCGAATCTCTCTTAAAACCGGACAACATGCGCGACAGAGAAAAAAGAGGGAGGCTTGTTGTTTATGCTTTTATTTTTCTTTGATTTCGATCAATGTCGGCAAGGGTAATAACGGTGTCCCAAGACGGCAGCGGCGACTACGGGACTGTGCAGGAAGCCATTGACACAGTCCCACTCGGCAACACGTGTCGGACCATCATTCGACTGTCACCCGGTGTTTACAAGCAGCCCGTTTATGTTCCCAAGACCAAGAACCTCATCACCTTGGCTGGTCTCCGTCCCGAACTCGCTCTTCTTACATGGAGCAACACCGCTACTAAAATCCAACATCACCAGGTAAAAGATGTTCGCTTCGGTGCTACCTTATTTGGGTTTTCGCCACGTGTAATCATGGTGGGTTTTTTCTTCTTCTTTTTGAGAAGGGCTCGAGGTTGATTGGGACTGGGACGTTCGGTTGTGGCACTGTGATTGTTGAAGGAGAGGATTTCATTGCTGAGAATGTAACTTTTGAGAACTCTTCTCCTGAGGTAAAAGTTTCAATCTTTTCTCTCTCTTAATTTTACCTTATTTATTGCACACTTTTCTGGGTTTCATGAATGATTCAAATTTCACCTTTTGATTCACTGAATGATGTGATTTTTAGTATTTGGGGTTTTTTTGGAAGCTTCTCGATGAGGTTCATTTCATTGTCCATTAATTGCAAAGTTTGAGTTCCAATTAGTCCTATGCCGTTGATCTTTACTTTCTTACAGGGTTCAGGGCAAGCTGTTGCAATCAGAGTAACGGCGGATCGATGCGCATTCTATAATTGCAGGTTCCTCGGCTGGCAGGTGCTTGACTCATCTCATTTTAGTTGGCCTTATGTAATAGTTTTAGTAATGGAGCAGGTACTGTATCATTCTGCAATTTCATGTTATCCCGACTATTCGTTTTTCTTCAAGTACTGTGTCCTATGCATGCATATATACACTATTATAAGGATATGCTCCTCCAAACACCCAAATCTGAGAAACATAGATGCACCTTGTTTTGGTGACAATTGTAGACCTATTTTAATTGTAAAATATAACTAAAATTTGGCTGGCTCAACTGCCTAATTTTGATATTCTCGCTGAAGAAATAGTTGGCAAAACTATATTTTTGTGTGCAAACAATGTCGGCTACATGCTAAGGTCTTTCGAGTATTTCACGACCACTTTAGAGGTTTAATTATGTTCGTAAAGGTGTAGTTTTTGAGAAGTGTTTTTGGTTTATGCATACTTCTTTAAGAGGTAACGTTCAACAAGTCTGAGGTTTGGATTTGAGCATCTCCGACCCTTTCTCCCATCTATAGACAGGGGCCTACTTTGTACTGGAATCTAAAATCTTACTGCTTTTATAACCATTTGCAGGATACTCTATACTTGCATTATGGAAGACAATACTTGAAAGATTGCTATATTGAAGGAAGTGTAGACTTCATTTTCGGGAACAGCACAGCTCTGTTGGAGCATTGTCATATACACTGCAAGTCGGCTGGATTTATAACTGCACAGAGCAGGAAAACTTCTCAGGAATCGACCGGTTACGTGTTTTTGAGGTTTGTGGTTGACGAATTTACTTCTACTGTTTGTTTTTCGTTAATATCCAATTAACTTCTTGCATAAATTTCTTGAGTTTTTTTTTCTTTCTGGTAACTTAACAAATATGGGCCTACCTTGATATGTTTGCAACTAAAACTTTGTTTAACCTTCCAATATGGTTTTAACGTTTAAATCGAAATAAAATACTTCAATTTTTTATCTTTTGCGCTGCATGCTGTATCTTGTATTTTGTTGCTAGGAAAATGTGGTACTTGCTATAACCCTTAATGTTTTATTCGTGCTTGTGATAGTTTTTTAAGATTAGACATCTCTCACCCGAACCCGAAAATTTTGTTTTGCCACCAATTAACTGCATTTCACTCTTTTTTCGTATTATGTCTCAAATTTTTGTAACCATTTTTAGCCTATGAGCACGAACTAACTTACCTCAGTGGTTAAAGGAATTGTTGTTGTTCCTTGAGGTCACAGGTTTGAGCACCAACAACTACAGCAGGATGATTGAGCGTCCATTGTCAAATGCTTGAGAGTATTTAGAACATATACTACTTTGTAATCACCTTAGCTTAATAAATAATAATAATAATTTAATATACGAACTAAAATTACAAAACTTATAAATGCAGTATAGATACTTCATGTGTCCTTGAAATGGTATTTTTTATCAGCTGTGATCTATATGTTTTACCCGGGTTTGGTAGCTATTCATCTTTTTACGATATATATTTCCAGTATCACACATAAGAACCTGTGAATTACAACATGTGGCTTCAATGCAGATGTGTCATAACCGGCAATGGAGGGTCTTCGTATTCATATCTCGGGCGTCCATGGGGACCCTTTGGAAGGGTAGTCTTTGCCTACACATACATGGATCAATGTATCAAACATGTAGGTTGGAATAACTGGGGAAAAGTCGAAAACGAGAGAAGTGCTTGCTTTTACGAATACAGGTATTTTCTTGATTCTCTGTGATATTACTTTTAAATTCGGAAAACGATCTAGTTCATGCCCGAAAAACATCAGGTCCAGAAGATTCCATTTGGTTTGGTCATTAGGGTTATTTTCCATGAAATAGATAAAATTTATGTGATTGTCACTTTTGTCAAAGATGGTACAAGTTGAACTCTTGTTGGCCTTTGTGTCATTCGGCCGGATAATGTTTTTGTTCCTCACCTTGACTGAAACCGTAGATGTTTTGGCCCTGGCTGCTGTCAACCAAAACGGGTTACCTGGGCACGAGAACTGATGGACGAAGAAGCAGAAGAGTTCCTTATGCACGGATTCATCGACCCAGATCCGAACCGACCTTGGCTTGCTCAAAGGATGGCCCTGAAAATACCATTGTCTGCCTAGAGACCAGTATCAACAATATGTAGTGGTGTGTTTTAATGGTTTTCATGCATAAGAATAAGGCAATAATCATATTAAAGATTTTAAGAACAATAGTGGCCTATATATGATTTGGGGAGTTTTAGTTTCTTTTTTACTGCGGATCTTTTATGAATGTTTTACTATTTATATTGTTTTAATCTTCTTTTAATCATAGAGTTTAATTATTAAAGATATTGATTAAAGATAAAGTGAGAGGAAAAGTCATGGTGCTGACTTTGAATTTGAGATCGAACCCCGTGCCTGTCGCATGCAAAGTGAGCGCTCTACATCCCCTGTTGCTTGAAATATATAAAATTTAAGTATTTTTCTTGTTACGGCATAATATATTGAGTCAATCTTCAAATTTTGGGATGATAAATTATATTTTATTATCTTAATTGAAAAAGTTGAGTAAAATAAAATTCAAATTGTTTATTCAAATTTAATTAAAAATCATCGTACAATTCTTTTAACAATACAAATTAAATTCTAAATTAAAATATATAAATATAAGATTATATTTACTAATAATCAATTAGTATAGTGGGATGAGATATTAGATTCTTTAAGCAAATTGAGAACCTCAAGCCATAATTTCAGAATGATGGTTGCTGTGAATAATCCTGCAGCGACTGTAAGAAGGCTTTTGACGGTAATTTTGTGGCTAAAACAAGTGTACCCTCCATTTTCGAGTATTCTTTTGAGGAGCTCATTTCTAGCATATCGTCCATTAATGCAAAAATCACACGATCAAAACACTGGAACCACAAAGCGGTCAGGATTTGAATTCCGTCTACCGCTCCTAATGAACTCTGTAACATTAAAATAGCATGGTTCATCACCTCTTCCCTCTGGTCCAAACATACTGCCCTCAGTCCACGCACCAACCTCAGCCACATCTCTCCAATGTCCTGCCTTACGTTCATAGCAGCCTCCCCCTCCGCAGCATTCTGGGTCTCATAAGACCATCTAACTAGACAAACGACTGAACCCGACATCATGTCTAGGGCAGAAATGGACCTCTTGGCCTCACCAACCCGAGACTCAGCAAACTCCCTTGCCGCATCCACACAAAGAACATAATTAGATGGCAAAAGATGTGCTCCCTCAGACATGATGAATGCTAGTGCCTCGAAGCCAAACCCGGATGCTTCTGGATATCGAGCGGTGATATATAGCAAGGAGATGATCGTGCGCCAACCCAAATGAGATCTGATGTGAGTTGCATTTGCTTTCACGAGATGCATGACTTCTTGCGTAATAGGTTCACAATACGCATCAGCAACCCGAGCATAAAGTTTCAATATTAGTTGCATGGACTTTAGAAGCTCATCAGTAATATTTTCCTTGTAAGGAAGCAAGCGCTGGCATACCTTAAGGAGTCCAAACACGGCTTTTTCAACTAGAGTGCATGGTACTGTCTTCTGCTGGACAATATCCGATATGTGCTTGTAAACCTTTTGCCAGATTATCGAAATTCTATCCCTGTTATTTAGTGTGATAGTGATCAGCAAATCCAGGCAGAACTCTGCACTGTCTTCATCTTCCATGACCCTGGTTCCCTTGTTAAATCGACCTGCAGCCAAGATGATGGCATCAACAAGGTGCAATAAAGACTCTGCTTGGAGAAACTTGCTCTCCATGAATATATTATCGATGTGGCATTCCTGTACTATCTCACGAAGACACTGTTGTGCAGCGAGCTCTTCCTCGGTTGGATACAACCTAGGCTCTTCCATATCAAAGGATAGGAATTGACTGAACCATCCAATCAGGCTCGAAGATTTTTGGGGAATGGTCGCAGGTGCTGTCTGCGATTTTTGTAAAGAACTTGTAGCAGGCTTACCCCGCTCTTGGTCAGACAAGGACTCCATTTCAGCAGCTTCATCACTAGCTAGATTTGTAGGCAGAAGGTCAAGCTTGTGCAAGCTTAAGACACAATCCAATATGTTTTTCCAGCCACTGCGGATACAATCACCATAGCTATTTGCTATAGTGAAAAGTGTTGTTATTGCCATGCTCGCTCTGGCATCATCTCCGAAAGAAACAATGGCTTCTTCAATGGACAATGGAGTTGAGAGGTTCGTAAATTTACAAAGAGACACAACCAAATCATCCAATACATCACCCAAGTGATAGTGCACTGAAACTTTGGCAACAGCCAAGAATCCCTCAACGCACATTTGTAAGACATCTTCCTGTTCCACTTCATCGAAAACCAAAGATATAGCCGCAATTGTGGGACCAGACAAGATACAAAACATATCGTGGTCAAGGAGTGCTCTAGAATCACAGGCAATGAAAGGGGTGCTTTCTTTGGATTTATAAACCACATTAATCCAGCGGCTTGACGTCATTACTGATAAACCAGCACCTTGATCAGGGGTCATCTGAATTTCGTTCTCACAGATAGTGGTAAAGCTCAGACAAGTACTCTCGAGGAAGATCTTTTCCACCATTGATGAGTCGATTGTTGCCGATAAAATCCTCTTTGGTCATCTTTTTCTTAACCTGTACATTGTGTTGATCTGTGTTAAGCAGTATAAGTGAATACGACAACACGAGGGCGACATCTTTATTACAAAATATATGTGGTGATTGCTCGTAATATCTTTCAGCAAATGCCTCGAGTACTCTCTGTATCTTTTGTGATTCTCCAGGCAATCTGAAAGTTCCCAAGAAAACACGTAATGCTGAATCTAGATTCACGTCACTAAAATCAAAGGTCTTAACAAATTCATGAAGAACCTGAACACAGAATTCATCATGATGCTACACTTTCAGGCTCAAGCTTATCAGGTAATAGATGGATTCCTTGGAGAAATTCCAGACCTTTCTTGGTATGTCGATTAAAATGGTCAGCTCCGATTGCCAACTTTCTCTTGATGTGCTTCATCTTACAGACAAAAGGAAGCCAAGAATATGGATCAATGTAGTTCTGGTATTTCAATGTCCAGAAAGCTTCATATCCCTCACAATATGTCAGTGTCTCGTTTGAAATAGGCAATTCATTGCCGGTTCTCTCAGCCATAACCTTTACCATAGATGCCAAACCATCCAGGGCAAGGATATGCATTGCAGACAAAGGTCACTTCACAGGAAATGCATTCTTTGATAACAGGTTGGCAATGTCTTCAAAAACAATACTGCATGTTATGTCACAATCATAATTAGCATACATTTCAGCCACAAATGTCTGCTGCCTGCAAAGATCGACCAAAGCTTCCAAAGCAACCTCCTGCTGTTGGTAAGAAGACCCGTGCTTGCTTTGTGCAAGCTTCAAAAGCACACATGAAAAGAAAGCTTCATGCTGCACTTTTAGTTCCGAGCGCAAATGATAATATAGATTGAGAACAATGCTACATACAGTAGAAAGAATAAGTGGGCTCATGGATAAGCCAAATTGCATCAGATTACGAAACAAATCATCCTGAATTACAGCCAATAACTTGGGATGCTTGCTGAATGATGGCCCACCCAATTCTATTGCTGAACTAATTAAACCCAGGGCAAAGAGTGGAACATCTTCATCATATGCTACGGGATTCGATTTAAGGCCAATACCTATATTTTCAATGAAATTTAACATAGAACACAAAAATTGAAATATTTCCACCATGCATGGGATCCCAAAAGGTGAAGACATCAATCTTTCATCATGTTGGGTTTCCTCCTTCCCTTCCTTTTCGCCAGACTTGATTGTGTCGATTTCAAAACTGGACTTCATCATTGGAGGTATAACGATCAAGGAAGCTGGAAATGAATAATGCTTTCTTGCATTCAAAGAAGGATTACAAGGCTAGTTTATATACAACTATAAGGTTAACTAACTAACTAACCGAATTGCAACTGCTAACTAATCAGCTAACTAATGAACTAACTTGAACTAACTGATAACAAACTAATTACAATCATTGCATTACAAGCTTATATACTCTAATACCCCTCTCAAGTTGGACATGCATGTATGTTAAGGAGACCCAGCTTGGCAATGAAAGCACAATGTATGGGAGGTCGAAGTATTTTGGTGAAGATGTCAGCTAACTGATCCGAGGAACGGACATGAAACAACTTCAAAAACCCAGCTTTCACCTTGTCTCGTACAAAATAGAAATCGACTTCTATGTGCTTTGTCCTCTCATGAAACACCTGATTAGTTGCAAGGTTAATTGCAGCCTAATTATCGCAATATAATCTTGCATAATCAACATCCTAATGAAATGAAGAGAGCAAAGAAATGAGCCAAACTAATTCGCATGTAGTCATAGCCATAGCTCGATATTCAGCCTCGCAGGAAGATCGGCTAACAACGGCATGTTTCTTCGATTTCCAAGACACCAAGTTGTTACCAAAAAAGGCACAAAAGCCTGTCGTGGAGCGTCTTGTATAAGGACAAGAACTATACTTTGAGTCAACAATATGCTCAAGTGATTAGTGGACTAAACTGGGAATAATAAGCCAAGACCAGAAGAACTTTTAATGTATGCCAGAAGGTGCTTTAAGGCAGTCACGTGAGGAAGACGAGGAGAGGAAACAAACTGACTCAACAAATGTATAGTGTGAACAATGTCTGGCCTAGTATTAGTCAAGTACAATAAACGACCTATCAATCGTCGATACTCTTGAGAATCAGAAAGTATTGCTCCTTCATTTGCACTCAACTTCGAGGATAAAGGCATGGGTGATTCAGTTGGTTTGGCACCCAAACAACCTGTATCTTCTAGCAACTGCAGCGCGTATTTCCTCTGGGATAGAATAATTACAGAGCCATTTCTAGCAATTTCAAAGCCTAGAAAGTAACGCAGGGGCCCCAACTCATTTAGTTTGAAGTGCTTTTGTAAAAGACTTTGTATTTTATGAAGAGCTTGTAGGTTTTCCCCAGCCAAAACGATGTCATCTACATATACGAGAAGAGCAATAAATCCATTGTCACGTCCCCTTGTGAACAAAGGGTGTTCAAATGGAGACCGTTGAAAGCCAAGTTGAATGACAACGGTAGAAAATGCAGTGAACCATTGTCTGGATGCTTGCTTCAAACTATAAATGGATTTGTGAAGCTTACATACCATATTAGATCCTTTAAGCTCAGACTTGTATCCAAAAGGTAATTTCATG